CCCAACCTTCTCCAGTAATAACATCAGCATAACTAAGTCACGCCATGTTGCCACTGTGCACTCACGTCACATTATTTACAGTGTACTTCATATCAGTTACACACTGAAGTTTAGTCTGAAAATAGTGTACGCTACAAGGTCACAGCCAGCAGGAGTAAGAGAGAGGAGGGTGGCTTATCAGAAAGGAAGCAGGGGTAGAAGTGGAATCTCCACTTGTAGTCCATACATTTTCTGCGGTTTTTGATCCACTGGTCACACTACATATTTCCAATGAAGGCCCTGTACCGTAAGTTAGAGCAATCTACAGATTATGTAGCTGCAGAAAAGACACCTGCCTTTCCGTCTGATCCCAGAGAGTAGCAGGATGTGAAGTCTGCAGTCAACTGAATGGCAAGTGTTTCACCCTGGTGAGCTGTCCACGAGTCGATGCAATCACTACGACGTAAGTCAAAGATCCTGACGCTGCCATCGCTGCATCCTGCCAGCAACAGCTGTCCATTATGGTTGAATGTGCAGCACGAGGCTACCGCACCCACCTGGTTCGAGTCAAGCGTCAGCGCCCTCTGTGTGGAGGGACGACACAAACCAAGAATAAAGTTCATACTACGGTTGCTATTCTGAAACAATACTGGAATGATTTCATGTTATAAATGGAACTCTGAAGTCTGGGCTTCAGAAATACACTTGTCAGAGACCCAGTCAACTCAGATTGGCACCAACTACATTTTGATCCTCAACACAAATTATTTATCACCACATGCAAACTATAACTGAAAAAGTAATGCAAAAACTAACCTCCAGTTTCTTTGTTTTGATGTCAAAGAGCAGCAACTTGCCCACAGTCTGAGCAGGAAGCTCCACCGAGCAGATAAACGTTGACTCCACGGGACTGCAGCAGATCGTCATGATCCTGGAGAGAAAAATGGCTAATCATTTTCATAATAATGTACACACTGAAACCGACATCAGTCTCTTCACTAACATTATAAGTACATGACAGCATAATACAGAAGCAATGTCTACCTTCGATTGTTATTTTACGTGTTTCATCTCCAGAACTACTTCATGTATTTCATAGCAATGTGGAACTGAGAAGCGTACACTAAAAGTCATCACAAAAAATTTCCCTTGTTGAGTATAACCCCTACATTACATGGATTTAACTCCACACAATTTCTAATACACAACACATAACAAAAAATACAGATCTTTCAATTTTACTTGAAAATATCTTCATACATTTAACATTTTGAAAATTACACACAAAAAAATTTTCATACTCCATCCAGTGATGTGTGAAAAATCAGAGAGCACCTCATTGCAAAATTTTTAACCACCACACAACAAGATTTAATCACAGACCTGGTGTCCTTCAAAGGGCTTGCAGCATCACCACCTAGTTCCCACATGATGCGGTTGTCTCGTGTATCATACAGACGAACCAGCCCTTGCTTGTTGCCACTTATAAAGTAGCGCTCATTCCTTGTCACCCAATCCAAGGACATGATAGTGGATTTGGACACAAAAGTTGCTAATGTCCTGAAACAAACACATGCAGGAAAATAAACCATACCAACAGCAGAGCACCATGTCATAAAATCAATTAAATCAATTAAAATCATTTTATGAGTATGTCAATACATTATAAACAATGCACAAAATTGTTTGATCTGAAGCTTTCACAGCGACTAAGTCACCTTACACGGCTAGTAGCCCGAGAAGAATTTATACCACACAAAATTACATATGAAGATTTCTGTCTTCTGGGTTATTGCGCTGTGTAGTCTGGTCGATGTTAACCAACGTTTCAGAGGTCATACTGCCTCCGTCATCAGGGCGATGAATATGCTAATAGGGTGTGAGGAGTTGGATTTTATAGGCAGGGAAGTGAAAGGTGTAGCCTGCCCCGAGCCAATGGGAGCAGGGATGGGAGGGGGCC